TAAGACTGGGACTTTTCAGCTTGGAAAAGAGACAAGTAAGGGGGGATATGATTGAGGTCAATAAAATCATGACTTGTGTGGAGAAAGTAAATAAGGAAGTGTTATTTACTGCTTCTCATAACACAAGAACTAGGGGTCATCAAATGAAATTAATAGGCAGCAGATTTAAAACAAAAGGAAGTATTTCTTCACACAACGCACAGTCAACCTGTGGAACTCTTTGTCAGAGGATGTTGTGAAGGCCAAGACTATAACAGGGTTAAAAAAAGAACTAGATAAATGTATGGAGGATAGGACCATCAATGGCTATTAGCCAGGATGGGCAGGGATGGTGTCTCTAGCCTCTGTTTGTCAGAAGCTGGGAATGGGTGACAAGGAATGGATCACTGGATGATTACCTGTTCCGTTCATTCCCTCTGGAGCACCTGGCATTGGCCACTGTTGGAAGACAGAATACTGGGCTAGATGAACCTCTGGTCTGACCCAGTAAGGCTGTTCATATGTTCACCCAATAGACACTGAGCCCTTTTCCCTACCTATCAGCTTACAATTATGTCTGAAAGCCAGACAGACATAATTCTCATTACTCCTGTGAACTTCTGCATCAGACTACAGTGTAACAGTAGTCTGCATACCCAGATATTGGGCAGGGTGGGGGAGGAGCAGTGAGCCTGATACAGAGCACAGTGAAAGCTTCTGCGTAGGACAAAAGCCCCAGCAAACACTCCCTCACAGTGAGAAGGCAAAAGAACAAGAATTTATACCCTTATTTTTACACCTCTTGCTCGTTAACAATATACGTTGCTGCCTTATGAAGGGGACACTTGCTTTTTGGAACTTGGAGTCTCTGGAGTCTGCAACACTTGCCCAAAAGAAAGCTGTGAGGAGTTTTCCTCTCCCTGGGAATCCTCATACATCAAGCCTTCCTACAGTGGAGTCATTGCTTTGGGTGGTGGTCTAGGACTCTGCATGCCTAAATGATTCAGAGCCCATTGTGCTGGCAAAGGAAGGGTCAGCAGCTTGCAGCAGGAAGACATAACTTGATCTCTGAAGCTCCTCAAAGCTCCCTATAGAAACTCTTAGACTTAGCCTGACCTTTGCAGGGCTTTACTGCTGCTATGGTGGGAGGCAGAGGGAACCCACAAGAGAGGTGGCTGCACTGGAGAAACCAGAGGGCTAGAAACTCAAAACTCCAGTGATTCCTCAATTCTTGAGAGAGAAAGCAAAGGGAGAAATTGAAAGGAAGTCACCACTGCATTAAAACAAGCAAAAATTACAATTATACAACAAAGTGGTGAGGAGAAATTGAACCACCAACTTGTTCCACTGCCAGAGGCAGAAATTCTAGTGGCTTGAGTTGAAGGGTAGGGCTTAGTCCTGGAACCTCCAGCAACAACACTGGACCACCTCCAAATTCCACAGGCGTTACCCATTTGTGATGAATGTGGAGAGAAGCTATATGACAGAATATCCCACATCTGCCCACTGCAGGGATTTTACACCTTCCTCTGAAATATCTGGTACTGATCACTGTCAGACAGGATACTGGACCAGCTGGATCTCAGGTCTGATCCAGTATAAGGTCTACCAACTCTTGCGATTTTCTCACAAGTAACATGCTTTTGGCTGAGACTGGAGTCAGTCTCACTATGATGCAAGAAGCGCCAGCCCTCTAGCAAATTTCAGTCCTGACTGGGAGGAAAAACCCTCTGACTGGCTGCCATCACCCACTTCCCCACCCTCCAATCAGAGCTGCTGCAGGAGTTAGCCATGTCTCTCTTTCCCCTTCCCTCGGGTGCCCGGGGAATCTAATTTTGGAGAGGTAGAGGAGAGGGAGCAGCTGAGGCCATTCTCACAGGAGAGGAGGTGGGGAGGAAAGAGGAGAAACATCCTGGCAGCTCAGGATGGTTCTGCTCCCTCTTCCCCTTGCCCCTCCTGTGAACTCTGGGTCAGTCTACTCCCTAATATTCCCCCATCCTCTCACCTTCCTGGCTGCAACACCAGCCTAGTAAGAGGGGAATAAGGGGGGTAGGAAAGGCCCTGTGGACGGACGGACGGACGGACACACACTAGGTTTGAGAGAGGGCGCTGAAAAACCTGAGGCTTCAGAAGAAACCGAGGTGAGATCAGGGAGCAGAACTGATGTGGGGAATGAAGGGCAGAATTAATTGCTCAACTGCAGGGGATGGGCAGATGTGAGGGTGGGAGATTTAATAAACTAGAATGTTGTGGTTTTGGGGAGAAGCTGGAACTCTGCACCCTCGGGCAACAAGAGCTAAAATCACTGTCATTCATTAATTTGGGAGAGTTGTCAACACTAAGTGTCACACACCTACAGTACGGTTGGGCAAGGGGAATTCAAAAAATCAAAGACTAAAACACACAATATTTATTTTTAAATCTCATGATTTTGGAAGACGGGGGTTGACATGATTTTTTTTTTAATTTTGGAGATGGCAATACTGCAGTATGGCAATTCCTATGTGGAGGTAAACCTATGAAAATACTTGTTTTGGTGGTCAAATCTGACCCTATAAGGCTTTGTTATACCGTCTTCCAAAAGTATTACTTCAAAAGCAGGAATACTAAAAGATAAGAACAAAGATAGGAACAAAGAGGTCTGGTGAATGGACACTCAAATCAGAAAACCAATTTACACATAAAACAATAAACTGTCTGACTTATAAAGGGTTTTGGTAAATAGGTCTATGTCTTGCTTTTATAAATAAATTTAAAGTTATCCCAATTTTAAGTTAACTCATCATTAGTTACAATATATCAGAGGACCCAAAATTATATTTGAACTTTCAGATAACAAAAGTCTATGGGCTACAAGACTGTTAATTGTAGAACATATTACAAAGTCAAAATGGAAATGAACATGAAATAATTTTCTAACTATAATCTTGTCCTCTCCCTGTCAATGGGGGATGGGTCCTTACATTATATCAGTGGTTCCCAAACTTGTTCCGCCGCTTGTGCAGGGAAAGCCCCTCGCGGGCCGGGCCAGCGGCTTTCCCTGTACAAGCGGTGGAACAAGTTTGGGAACTACTGAACTATATGTTGCACAATTTCAAAAAAGGAAATACAATAGTTTACCCCTAGAATCTCTGATGTTCTTTTTAGTTCTTCTTTATTCACATGTATTTTATGGGTTTCCATCACTGTAAATATAAGTATATAACTGAGAACAAAATACAATTTTGAAAAAACCTTAGAGGCATCAATACTATATTCAAACCATAATATTAAAAGATAGTGTTGTATAATGGACTAAGCACCACCTTGGGAACCAGGAATTCCTGGGTTCTACTCCCAGTTTTTCCATTGACTTGCAATGTGACCCTGAGTAAGTCACAAGGGACAAATTAAACTTGGGTGCAAAGTTCAGAATTAGGCACCTATGCCCATATTTAAGTACCCAGAAAAATGGCTTGATTTTCAGAGGTACGCTTTTCTAGGTACCTAAATATGGATTTGAGTGCCTATCTTTAGGCACCCAAGTTTGACAGTTTTGATCTTAAGCTCTGTTTCTCCACCTGTAAAATGAGGAAAATAGCATTAGAGAAGTGTTGTGAGGATGACATGATGATTATATAGCACTTTAAAGGTGCAACGTTCTATTTAACTATTAAGCATTATAAATCATACTAGAAAATGCTGTCTGAAAAAAAATGGTGAACAACCTTATTTTTCACTCATCTTCTCACCTGCCAAAATTTTTATCAAGGGAAGCTCCAAAGTGCAAAAGAGTTTCCACAAGCCTTGAACCTGTAAGGCAGAACACAATCTTTTCAGTATAAACTTATTTTAATTATGAAATTGTGCCAGAGTGTGATACTGTTATTCACCATGAGTACTATGTGACTCCACAAGTAGTACTATTAAGTAAATGGGACCACATGTGGAGTGAAGTACTACTCTGTGTGAATAACAGGATTACAATCTGGGCCATAAACATGTAGTCCTGCTGGGAGAGGTACAATAATGCTAATGATGAGCACATGTGCCTCATTCTTCTAAGTGATATATAAAGAGAAATACTCATTGTAATGCAAGTTCATATTCATGCTGAGATATTTATATGCACAGATAATAGCATAGAGAGTACACTTATAAAGTTTGTGGATGATACCAAACTCGGAGGAGTTGCAAATGCTTGGAGGATAGTATTAAAATTCAAAATGATCTGGACAAACTGGAGAAATGGTCTGAAAGTATATAGGATGAAATTCAATAAGGACAAATGCAAAGTACTCCACTTAGGAAGGAACAATCAGTTGCACACATACAAAATGGGAAATGACTGCCTAGGATGGGAGTCATAGTGGATCACAAGCTAAATATGAGTCAACAGTGTAACACTGTTGGGGGAAAAAAAAGAAATATCATTTTGGGATGTATTAGCAGGAGCGTTGTAAGTAAGACATAAGAAGTAATTTTCCCACTCTACTCCACACTGATTAGGCCTCAACTGGAGTAGTGTGTCCAGTTCTGGGTGCCACATTTCAGGAAAGATGTGGACAAATTGGAGAAAGTCCAGAGAAGAGCTACACGATTATTAAAGGTCTAGAAAACAGTCTTTTTAAGGGAAGATTGAAAAAACTGGGTTTGTTTAGTCTGGAGAAGAGAAGACTGAGAGGGGACATGATAATAGTTTTCAAGTATATAAAAGGTTGTTACAAGGCATTGGTGCACCTCAGTCCCTCCTATTCTCTGCCTATGGCACACAGTAGTTTAGACTCCTGATAATTTGGTCTAATTTCAGTTGTTGGGCTTGGGGTGTGCTGGTGGCTGGATGGTGCTGATGGCCTGGATATACAGGAGGTCAGACTATATGATCTGGTGAACCCTTCTGGCTTTAAATTCTATGGTTATGTCTATACAGCAGCTGGGAGCATCCCCCCCAGCATAGATGGAGAGACTCACTCTAGCCAGAGAGCTAAAAATAGCAGTGAGGATGTTATGGCACTAGCTGCAGCTTGGACTAGCCGTCTGAGCTCAGACACAGGGTCAGGTGGGTTTGGGCTCAGATAGCTACCCTGAGTCACCACCCATGCCGCAACATCCTCGCTGCTATTTTAAGTGCGCTATCTCAAACAGAACTCATGCGCATCTGTTTAACCAGGTGGAAGGCAACTGCAGTGTAGATACACACTATGATTTGGAAACAGCCTTCAGTAGCTCTCACTACTTCAGTATTTGTGTGAACCCCATTTAGCACACATGACCCTAAATCATGGGAGCGCCTCTGTTACAGAAAACAGCACCGCTGATGGATTCAGTGTCTCATAATATTTAATATATGAGGCCTTCTTGTCTTTTTCCATATATAGACTCTGACTTTACTTTTAATTGACGGTAAATCACAAATGTTTTTTTCATTCACCATATTACTATGTAGGTAAAATTTTTTGTTATGATATTTTGCTACAAAAAACTTACCTGTAATTCACCAGCCAGCTCCATCATTATACTGTAAAGTATCTTCAAGTTTAGAACCAAGTTCTGGTGCTGATTTAAAAAAAAAACCAAGAATACTCAATTACTAATATAAAACTGGTAAGATTATTACTTCAATACTAAGCGACTAACCAACATGAAAGCATTTTTCCTTGTGCATCTACTGATGCTAACTCTTGCATATCTAGTAATAGTCTTAGACCACTGATAATCACATTTCAAGAGTTCCTGGGGAAGTAATGATCTGGAACATTTAGAACTTAATGTATTCCTTATTTTACATACTGTACCTGGGAACACAATCTGAGCATGAAGATTGAAGAGGTGTACTTACTTTTAAGAGATAATATTGTAACATTGTGCTTTTGATACTAGAGTTAAAGTTCTTGTAGTAAAGTGATCATGCCAGGGTTAACTGGGTTGTCCAGAATATTATGGGATGGAGCCATGCTCCTCCCCCATGCTTTACTTCCTGTTTTAGTCCATGGGACTGTTCTCCCCATTCTGTTGCGAAGCAGTTAGATATGCAGCAAGTCCCCAGCCTGAAGTCCCGCAAGTAGATTTGTTGCACTGAGCAGACCCTTTAAAAAAGTTCTACCATCATGTCTACAAAATGAAAATTTCTTACCTGATCATTTCCATTCTGCTAGCAGTGTCTGCCACAATTCTGTGACTTTGGGCTGTTCCCCTCCTCTCTGAAAAAATGAAGGCAGTTCAGAGTTGCAGCATAGCTCATGCTGGCTATGCTCCCTTCTCCAGCTGCACACCAGAAGAGTCATTCCAAAGCTGTGTAGAAACTCTTACAATATGATTAGTAACAATAGTGCCAGTCAGTGAACTACATACAGTAGGCTATTGGCCCACAAATTGTAGACATAAAATAAATGTTGTCCTTTGGTTACTGGAATCATATCAGGGATGGCAGAATTGTGGGAGACGCTGCTAGCAGAAAGGAGATTATCAGGTAAGGCATTTCATTCTGTAGCCCAGCGTCTCAATTATACGATGATTGGGAAGTAACGAGCAATGAATTATAGAAAGAAAGGACAAAAAAACCCAGACTGAAACAGAGAAAACTCTGTTTGAAAATACATGGCAAGTTATTTTTGTATCGTCACATGCAGTTCCTTCATTCCAAAAGAGGCCTCTGCAGAGGACAGAAAATCCATCTTACAATGTTTGATAAAGCTGTTGACAGAAGACCAGGTTGGTGCCCTTCAGATATTCTCAGTTGAGACATACATCCTTTCTGCCCATCATATTGCTAGAGATCTCAGAGGTCTTCAGAAATAGGTGAACTTGATGCCATGTATGTCTCCATTATGCATAACTTCATCCATCTGGCCAGTGATAGTAGAATGCCAAAAGGCTTTAGCACTTTGGGTGAAAGGATACAAACAAGGAGCTTGATCTTCTCATCAATTCACTGCACTTGAGGTAGCTCTTAAGTGCTCTACATATATCCAGAATATGCCACAGCTTTTCTGTAGGACACTGGGGTTTTGGACAGAATAATGGGAGGATCTCTTCCTGTGTGGTATGGAAAGAGAAATCTCACCTTTGGTAAGAAAGATTCTGGAGTCCTTGGAACCAACTTGTCATCATGGAACACAGTGTGTTCCTGTATGGATAGAGGTGCCAACTCAGACTTGTCATGCTAACATAATAGTGACCAAGAAGCATGTTTCTATATATAAAAAACAATGGCATAAAAGTTGTTAAGGGTTCAAACGGATGGGTGCTTAGGGCTTTTAGTGCAAGTGGTAAATCCCACTTAGGAAAGACTGACCTGACGGCAGGTTTAGACAGTCTGACGGCTCTGAGAAATCATGAGACTTGCAAATTTTCAGTTAAGGAGTCTGACACATGACTCACTATGGTGCTGGGCTGTAGCTCCTTGTCTATATTGTCCTGAAGAAAATCCAGAATAGATGGAATTCCAGGATCCTTGGGATTTCTGTTTGCTTGACTGCAGGAGTTTAACCATGACCATATGGAGGAGTAGGCCTTTAATGCTAAAGTCTGTCTGGAGGCCAGTAGAGTGTTGACCATCTTGGAGGATAAAATGACTGCTTGTGCTTCCCCCTCAATAGCCATGCAATCATATGGATTTCAATTACAACTCAAAATACGAAGTGTACAGTTCTCACTTTATATTATAATTATTACAAATATTTGCACTGTAAAGAAGATAAAAGAAATTGTATTTTTCAATTTACCTCATACAAGTACTGTAGTGCAACCTCTATCATACAAGTGCAACTTACAAATGTAGAATCTTTTTCACATAACTGCACTCAAAAATAAAGCAATGTAAAACTTTAGAACCTAGAAGTCCACTCAGTCCTACTTCCTGTTCAGCCAATCGCTAAAACAAACAAGTTTGTTTACATTTATGGGAGATAATACTGCCCACTTCTTATATACAATGTCACCTGAAAGTGAGAACAGGCGTTCACATGGCACTGTTGTAGCCAGCGTTGCAACGTATTTAATGTACCAGGTATGCTAAGCATTCATATGCCCCTTCATGCTTCAGCCACCAATCCAGAGGACATGCTTCCATGCTGATGATGGGTTCTGCTCAACAACAATCCAAAGCAGTGCAGACTAATGCACGTTCATTTTAATCATCTGAGTCAGAGGCCACCAACAGAAGGTTTTTATTTTTTGGTGGTTTGGGTTCTGTAGTTTCTGCATTGGCTAGCCTCCCCGAGTACAAATCCACCTGAACCGGTGGGTACATACTCAAGGAGGCTAGCCCTCGCAGCCACTCAACATTGCCCATGCTACTGTGTCTACACTGTTATTTTTAGCACATTAGCGTGAGTAGAGCTAGTGTGAGTATGTCTACATGAGCTGGGAATCACACCCCTAGGTCCAAGTGTAGAGATAGCCTTAGTGTCTTTCATCTCTTCTACAGCATCACCCATTGTTTTAAGTAAACGGATCTTTCCTCCTTAAAATGAAGATCGTCATTCTGTGAACGAGCCTTCACAGACAGACAAAAAGTTTTTAACCATGAAAAGTAGTTCGGGGTAACTGTTGTCACCTCATCCCTTGCAGAAGTGTCCAGTATTTTTAATTAGGTGATCTACACAGTTAATTTCCATTAAAACCAATGGCGCTGATCATCAGATTACGTTGTAGAGCTTTAAAGTTTGAGAGGCTGTGTGGGTGGGCTTGGTTGAAGAGGAGAAAATTACTTGCCATTCTGGCATGGAATTTATGAAAACTCTTCTCAATAAATCTAGTTGGATGTAAAATGTTTCCCCTCTGTTGACTGCTTGACTAGACTAAAGTTAAGATTAAATAAAATTAGGTAGGGTAGGATAAAATTAACAATCTATTATCACTTCCTACTCCTAACCACCAAAATAAGGGAGCTGTGGGAAATACCACAAGATGTGCCGGTACTTATCTCATTTACCCTTTTTATTTCTTATTTCCTTCTCTTGCTTGGCTCTACTCTGTATTTTCTCTCCGTCTCTCAATATTTTTCACTACAATTTTAACATTTTTCTTCTTTTTGTGGAAAGAGGAGAATCCCTTGCCCATTTTTCCTTCCCCCTTCCTGGGAGTATTTTCCATTTTCAATTACCTCTCCTCTTTTCACATTTTCATTTTCTTATACTCCACTCTCTTTCTTAAATGAAATTCTCATACTGTACATCCCATTCCCATGCCCAGTGTTCTCTCCACATTATTTTCTTCCTTATTGTTAACTTACCATACTCCCCCAATTTCTTATTGCCCTTCTTCTTCCTGGATGTTCTCTCGTCTACTTGCTGCGTTCTTTTACTAACCTGCCCACTTTTTCCTCCTGTGACACACTACTTGATTATTTCATTCCTCCCTTTGCTTACACTATACTGCTTCATTCCCTCTATGTGTGCCATGGGATAGAGAGTGAAATGCAGCAGTGATTCACGTGGAATGACATAGTACAGAAGCAGTCACAAGCAAGGGAGGGGATTGGCACAGAAGACAAAGAAGAGTAAGTAACATAGTAGCTAGAACGTGGAAACCCTCAGAAGGCAACAAGACAGCTACACAATATATAGGAGGAAGTAGAGGAAAATTGCCATTCTGACTGAGCATGCATGCACCTTGCAGGGCAAGAATATACTTTTTAAAAATGAGTGCTTTAGGATACCTAATAAGAACTTCAAGACATATCTATTACTGCACATTCAATCTGAATGGTCCACTAATTTCAGTGAAGAATTTCTACACCATCAGTCAATAAAATTCCTCAGATAAGCTAGATGTTTTGGAATTTTTTAAAGCATTCTTACAGGGTATACAAGAGACAAGACTGTTTTAGTGATATCAAAAGTAACACTTCATTTAGACTGGACACAGATTGAGATCTGAATAGTTCTCCCTAACTCTCTAAACTCCCAGAATAATTAACACATCCTGTGAAGCCTAGTGTCTCCAAACTGGGTCTCAAATTTTTGATGAGACTACACTGTTGTGGCCCAAAATATGAACCCCCAAACCCTTGGCTACATAATATTGTTCATGAAACAATTTTACCAGCAGAATCATGATTTCTGTGGAACATTTCTATTGCAGCAGGGCTAACAATTAAGAATTCTATTTTTTAAAAAAAGCTTCCTTAAACAGACAAAACATTTCTATTTTTCTTCTTTCATATTGCTGGTGTAGAGCAGCAACTACAATTTCACCTGAAGTTGATTGAGCCAAAATGGCTACATCAGGAGTAGCAGAATTTAAGGCAGTAATGCCTCCTTCATATTTATAAATTGGGTAGTAGGTAGTGATATGTTCGATGGTCTGTCATGGGGAACCACACTCGCACACCGGGGAATCCTTGATTTTCCATTTGTGCATTATATATCTGCATCTACCATGGCTGGTTCAAATTTGGTTCAGAGTTGACCAAGATGACCATGGAAGATCAAACCCAGGAACCTTCTGCGTGGGATCTGGCACACGGTGCTTATTTTTAAGTCTTGTTTAGCCCGATCTGCTTTCCACGCCTCCTTCTGATCATAGCCTGATTGCATGAGGGTAAACAAATGTTCCCAGAAAGGCTTGCGGGACTTAACACGTTGCGGGGAGGGGGGGTTGTCAAGGTCTTGGTGAATAAGAAGACATCTGTTTCCCGGATTCGCTGAGCTTTGCGGAATGTTGCGGCAGTTCAGCATATCGGCAAGGGAGCGATATTAGACAGGACAGGTAGCCATGGTGTTGGAGTCGATTTAAGGGTTCCCGTGATGCAACGCATCACTCTATTTAGCTGCGTATCCACAAGTCATGTGTGGCTGCATCTGCTCCATACCGGTGCACAATATTCAGTTACTGAATATACAAATGCTATTGCAGATGTTAGCAACACTGATGCTGATGCATCCCAGGTTGTACCTGCTAGTTTCTGGATTATGTTGGCTCTCATTTTTATCTTTGCAGCTACCTTGGATTGTCATGGCAAGATCATCTGCATATCCAAATTTTCATGATTTAGTTGGCGGTATGTCACTTATGTATATATTAAAAAGGGTTGGTGTAAGTACAGAGCCTTGTGGTAACCCGTTGTCTATGTTACAGGGTGAGCTGGTCTTATTACCCAGGTACACCCGCAGGCGTCTGTTACTCAGCATGGTCCACAGCAGGTGAAGTGTTTGGTAGCAAGGTATGATTTTAGCAAGATTCAGCATCAGGCCCTTAATCCATACAGTATCATACACAGATGACAGGTCAACAAATATTGCGCCTGTCTTTAAGGTGGTTTTTTTTTGTTTTTTTGTTTTTTGTTGATAGCCAGCCTTAATGTGAGTTGTGAGTGCCAGAACTTGGTCACAACAACTAAGTTTTGGCCAGAAGCCTGCCTGTTCGACAGGGATAATTGGCAATCTCCTGGTCATCAGAGCAGCAACTCAACAAAATTTCTATCATACTGAGTGTGACAAGTTCCCCATGATTCCATGGCTATGTAATTTGAAATTTTCCCAAGATGCCATGAAATTCAGCATTTCTGGCATGGAATTCACCATTTTGCTGCAGCCAAGTGCTCAACATTTTGTATTTTGTCACCCTACCAGCACTCTGCCTGCAAATGCATCTTTCTTTTCAACTTACTTCACAAAGGAGAATTAATTAGATTATGATGCAGGCACCCTACACTATTCCATGGAATGAGGCAGCAGGGCATTGGAGATGCTGGGAGTGAGAGTTGAAGTCCAGCTTGGAGCCAGGGAGTGGGAGGAAGAGAACAAAGGAGATTTCATGGTGATCACATTAATTAATATTGCCATGGAATTTAGGGTTTGTGCTGCAGGATTTAGGAGCTACTCATGGGGAATTTGGTTCCATTGGCCCAAAGAATACAACAAGCCCTGATTATTTTATACCAATTCTCTGGCATATATTGCGAATCAAGATAACCCTTTGCTCTCAGAAGAAAATCCTGCATATATTTTTCTCTATTGTACCTTGCAAAGTATCTAAATATCTTTACTATTTCACTATTTGGTTTATCTGACTATGAGTCTCTAAAAACTACTTACCAATGTATTTCTCAAGGAATCTGCATTCATATTCACTGTTCTCTCTGAGACAGGATTTTCAAAATGCTTATGTATCAAATATTCAAAAGAGGGGACAGTGTCACTGGGGTTTATCAGCCATGCAGCAATCCTTGGATCTAACACAACACAATCAGCCACTAAAAAATAAAAAACTATTTTAATCATTCATTTCTGCTTTAATAAAAAACGGTTACTGACCTTTTGTAACTGTTGTTCTTCGAGATGTGTTGCTCACATGCATTCCATATTAGGTGTGTGTGCACAGCCTGCACCATTGCCAGAGATTTTTCCCTCAGTGGTATCCATCAGGCCAACTAGCACCCTTTGCTGCTGTGGACTTATGCGCTGGTACAGACACCTCATCAGCCACACAATCTCAGTTCTTTCTTGCTGGTTTACTCCAACAGAGGGGTGGGAGGGTGAGTCATGGAATGGACATGAGCAACACATCTCAAAGAACAATAGTTACAAAAGGTTAGTAACCTTTTCTTCTTCGAGTGCTTGTTCATGTCCTTTCTATGTTAGGTGACTCACAAGCAGTACCCCAGGAGGTAGGCTCAAAGTTCATGGACAGGCGACTAGCTTGGCTTAACAGTGAAATCCTTGCTGATCTTAAACACGAAAAAGATGCTTACAAGCAGTGGAAGATTGGACAAATGACCAGGGAGGAGTATAAAAATATTGTTCAGGCATGCAGGAGTGAAATCAAGGCGGCCAAATCACAGTTGGAGTTGCAGCTAGCAAGGGATGTTAAGAGTAACCGGAAGGGTTTCTTCAGGTATGTTGGCAACAAGAAGAAAGTCAAGGAAAGTGTGGGCCCCTTACTGAATGAGGGAGGCAATCTAGTGACAGATGATGTGGAAAAAGCTAATGTACTCAATGCTTTTTTTGCCTTGGTCTTCATGAAGGTCAGCTCCCAGACTACTGCACTGGGCAGCACAGCACGGGGAGAAGGTGACCAGCCCTCTGTGGAGAAAGAAGTGGTTCGGGACTATTTAGAAAAGCTGGACAAGCACAAGTCCATGGGGCTGGATGCGCTGCATCCGAGGGTGCTAAAGGAGTTGGCGGATGTGATTGCAGAACCATTGGCCATTATCTTTGAAAACTCATGGCGATCGGGGGAGGTCCCGGATGACTGGAAAAAGGCTAATGTAGTGCCCATCTTTAAAAAAGGGAAGGAGGAGGATCCAGGGAACTACAGGCCAGTCAGCCTCACCTCAGTCCCTGGAAAAATCATGAAGCAGGTCCTCAAGGAATCAGTTGTGAAGCACTTAGAGGAGAGGAAGGTGATCAGGAACAGTCACCATGGATTCTCCAAGGGCAAGTCATGCCTGACTAACCTAATTGCCTTCTATGACGAGATAACTGGCTCTGTGGACGAGGGGACAGCAGTGGACGTGTTATTCCTGGACTTTAGCAAGGCTTTTGATACGGTCTCCCACAGTATTCTTGCCAGCAAGTTAAAGTATGGGCTGGATGAATGGACTATAAGGTGGATAGAAAGCTGGCTAGATCGTCAGGCTCAACGGGTAGTGATCAATGGCTCCATGTCTAGTTGGCAGCCGGTATCAAGCAGAGTGCCCGAAGGGTCGGTCCTGGGGCTGATTTTGTTCAATACCTTCATTAATGATCTGGAGGATGGCGTGGACTGCACCTTCAGCAAGTTTGCAGATGACACTAAACTGGGAGGAATGGTAGATACGCTGGAGGGTAGGGATAGGCTACAGAGAGACCTAGACAAATTAGAGGATTGGGCCAAAAGAATCTGATGAGGTTCAACAAGGACAAGTGCAGAGTCCTGCACTTAGGATGGAAGAATCCCATGCACTGCTACAGATTAGGGACCGAATGGCTAGGCAGCAGTTCTGCAGAAAAAGACCTAGGGGTTACAGTGGACGAGAAGCTGGATATGAGTCAACAGTGTACCCTTGTTGCCAAGAAGGCTAATGGCATTTGGGGTTGTATAAGTAGGGGCATTGCCAGCATCGTTCCCCTCTATTTGACATTGGTGAGGCCTCATCTGGAGTACTGTGTCCAGTTTTGGGCCCCACACTACAAGAAGGATGTGGAAAAATTGGAAACAGTCCAGCGGAGGGCAACAAAAATGATTAGGTGGCTGGAGCACATGACTTATGAGGAGAGGCTGAGGGAACTGGGATTGTTTAGTCTGCAGAAGAGAAGAATGAGGGTGAATTTGATAGCTGCTTTCAACTACCTGAAAGGGGGTTCCAAAGAGGATGGATCTAGACTGTTCTCAGTGGTAACAGATGACAGAACAAGGAGTAATGGTCTCAAGTTGCAGTGGGGGAGGTTTAGGTTAGATATTAGGAAAAACTTTTTCACTAGGAGAGTCATGAAGTCCTGGAATGTGTTACCTAGGGAGGTGGTGGAATCTCCTTTCATAGAGATTTTTAAGGTCAGGCTTGACAAAGCCCTGGCTGGGATGATTTAGTAGGGGACTGGTCCTGCTTTGAGCAGGGGGTTGAACTAGATGACCTCCTGAGGTCCCTTCCAACCCTGATATTCTATGATTGGATATCAGGAACGATATGGTCTAAAATCGGGTCTCCTGCAGGAAGACCATGGCTTAGGTCAAATCAAGCACTGCCCTAATAAATTCTATGCTCTGAACTGGGACAAGAGTTGGCTTTTGTTCATTTATCAGCAGACCCAGCACTCTGAAGGTGGCTTGGACAGTGCTGATGCTGTTCTGTTCTTGAGCCTCTGACTGACCCTTGATCAGCCAGTCGTCGAGGTACGGGTAAGCCTGCATACCTCGCCGTATGAGCAAGGCCACTACTACCACCATATACTTTATGAAAACCCAAGGGGATGCAGAGAGGCCGAACAGTAGGACGGTGAATTGGTAGTGGTGTTGATTCACAATGAATCTGAGAAATCTTCTGTGGCCATGGAAGATAGAAATGTGAAAGTATATGTCCTTTAAGTCGAGGGTGCCGTACCAGTCCCCTGGATCCAGGGAGGAATGATAGAGGTCATGGACACCATGCAGAAGCTCAGTTTCTTGAGATATCTGTTGAGGCAATGCAGGTCCAGAATGGGCTGGAGGGTCCCCCCGGCCTTTGGGATTAGGAAATATTGGGAGTAAAACCCCTTCCCTCTCATGTCTTGCAGAACCTCTTCCACAGCCCCATTTGTAGGGGGGATTGCACCTCCTGTACGAGGTGTTGCTCATGAGAAGGGTCCCTGAAGAGGGACGGGGATGGTGGGTGGTAGGGAGGGGTGGACAAAAACTGACGGGTATAGCCGACTGTCACTGTACTTAGTATCCGATGTTGTGTGGGACCATGCCAGGCTGAAGTGGGACAGCCAGTACAAAAATAAAAGGGAAGTCAGATCTGAAGCAGTGACGGTGCACCTTCAAAAGATCCGCTTGGGCCCCTCGGAGTACCTCTGAGACCCTGGCTGGGAGATTGAGGTGGACAGGAATGGTTGGCACAGTTGATCATTTCTGGCGCCAAGAATGAGGCGGCTGCTGAAGCCTGAAGTACTTCCTGGAAGCCGATGGAGCGTAAAGACTGGAGGGTGGCCCTGGAGTCCTTCAGGCTGTGAAGTATCATGTCCATATGGCCCGAGAATAATGAAGAACCTTCGAAGGGGTGGCCCTGGATGGATTGTTGGACTTTGTGAGGAAGTCCCAAGGACAGGAGCCAAGAACAACACTTCATGGTGAAAGCGGAGGCCACTATCCTGGCTGCCGAGTCGGGTGCATCCAGAGCTGCCTGGAGAGAGGTCCTGGCCCATTCTTACCATCTTCCAAGAGGGCAATGAATTTCTGCCTTGAATTTTGAGGCAGTGAGTCCTTAAATTTACCCAAGGAGTCCCACAGATTATAGCTGTATCTCCTCAGCAAAGCTTGCTGGTTAGAGATACGTAGTTGGAGGCTACCCATCGAATAAACCTTTCTTCCAAAATGGCCCAGTTTCTTGGCGTCTTTTTGTTTGGGGGAAGCGCTCAGCTGGCCCTGCCTGTCTCTCTCATTGGCTGCTGCCATAACCGGGGGGTATAAGTAAAAGTGTAAGCAAGGTCTGAATGAACTCTCCTGACAGCTAGTTGGAAAGGGGGAGAGACTTCAGGAGCAAACTGTATTTACATGAACACACCTACTCTGCCTAGATATCCAACAGATAGAGCTGTGTTGCTCGAAGTGATCAACTTTGGCTGCTGTTGGGTTATAAATCACTTTAGTACTGAATGCAGGGGCAGTGAAATGTTATCATCAGTGTTGTTCTCCTTATTGTATGAGTAAAGGGGATGAGTAAACGCATCTTGTAGGTTATTTTCTGACACTGCCCTTGGAGCTCCGTCTGCAGCCGAGGATGGTTGAGAAGGAACTGAGGGGGTCGGGCCGCACGAGCGCTAGATGAAGCACCAATGGCACCATGAGACAGCTACTGCACACGCGCATCCAGACCAGGCACTGCTATCAAAAATCTCTGATCAGCAGCGCCGGAATGCACCGACACCTGAAGTGGAGCACCCACAGGGACAGCACTCGAAGAACTGTGTTTACTCTGTCCCAAATGAGGGGGGTCACCTTCAGCTGAAAGAACCTCATTAAACCAAGCATTGGCGCCAAATTTCTCAGCGCCGGTGGGTGCCCGCACCCCCTGTCCCTACTCAACCCCATCCCCGCCCCCATTCCAACCCCATCCCCGAAGTCCCCGCCCTAACTCCGCCCCCTCCCTGCCCCTATTGGATCCCTTCCCCAAATCCCCTACCCTGGCCCCGCCTCTTCCCCCAGGGCGCCGCATTCCCCCTCCTTCCCCTTCCCCCTCCCTCCCTGCCCTGTGAATCAGCTGTGTCGCGGCGCAAGCGCTGGGAGGGAGAGGGGAGAAGCAGGACGCAGCGGCGGGCTCGTGGAGGAGGCAGAGGTGAGCTGGAGCAGGGGGGGCGGGGTGGGGCCATGGGACCTATTTTTTTCCGTGGGTGCTCCAGTGCCAAATCAGAGCGGCTCGGCTCTGAGGCAGGTATGAGGTCAGCTTCCATGATGATAGTCATCAACCTGATGTATCTGTCTTTTTTAGTATGGGATCTGAAGTCCTGAGAGATCTGGCACTTGTCCTTCACGTGAGTTTCCCCCAAGCACTTCAAACAGCTGGAGTGCGGATTGCTC